CATCACAAATCAAGGAATGCTTTCAGTATGAATTAGCCCAAAATATGATTAGTCTGGTTAAGAAATAATCTTTTGAAAACATTGAAGAAAATAAATGGGCCGGATTTTGGTCCAAAAATAATTTGAAAAAAATCGTTAAAAAAACATTAACAAATAAATTGGAAAAGTAATTAGGAAAAAAGAGTTTTAAAATCTTGCATCGCATGAATAATGCTTAACATCTCCATTTTTGAAGCAATGGCATTTCAACTTTGTCTTTTATACTTCCCCCAAAACTTGAATCAGAATTAGGTTTAAGCTGGAAGACTTCTGTAGTTCTACCAAAATGAGCCAAAGTTCTACAAACTAAAACATTTCTAAAGTGCCCTCATTATAACCCGACTTATTCAAACTAAAAACACACACACAATATAGTTAATCAGTCTTTTTGCTTTGAATTTTCGATGATTTATCACACAGTAATTAAAACCAGAATTTTGTGGTGCATTCATTTCGAGCTAAGGATATCAGCTTGCCAAACCCTACTAAGGAGCTAACCAAACGTTTTGCCTTATCTGAGTAGAGCAATAACAATGAACCCGCTTACCGATAAGTCTGTGGTTTCTAAGCAACTAATGACCGACYGTCGATAACATTAAACATATGCTTTGCTCATTATTAAACACTCTGAAGTGGTTTTACCTTTGTGATCAATATCTGACCACCGGTTAATGACGGGAAAGAAAGACTTAGACAAGGGCTGCGCGGCCGGCGGACTCTTCAAACCCTTCTCTGGGCTACCTTTCTTTTAGCATCTCCAGAAAGAACTCAAGTATTCCGAAATTTCATGTACGTTAGAAGAAGCACGAAGGTGTCCGTTGCCTCTAACCCTATGACTGGAGGTCCAATCCCTGGAAATCACATATTTTTTTACATTTATTATTGAATATTGATTTTTAATTATAATTTAGCTTTTTAGTGTCGTTTTTATAATACTAAGTTTATTCATTTTTATATCATATTTATTAATACTATATTATGTATTTGTAAATTTGATGTGTATTTCATCAAATGTAAAGACTTTATTGTTATTATTATTATCATTATCATTATTATTATTACTCTGAAATAACTTGAAATTACAATGATTACATATATATGCAACAATACATGATGAACAGCAGAACAAAATTTATGTTATACACTAAAACTAAGGCTACATTACAACATCTTTTAATATGTTTTTGTCATTTTTCTATGCTTTTTTAAAGAAAACCCCATCATACGAGTCGAGTTGCCAGTTGTTGGATCCAAGCAGAGAAACTTTCTCTGTGGGATATTGATTATAAATAATAATTCGATCTGTCAGTGAAAGCCCTTTCGTAGGCTGAGCATTCGCTCCCTGCTCTTTGATGAAATATGATCCATCATTATTTTTTGTCGATAAAAACATATGCTACACTATTACCGCCCTGTGGCAGTCATAAAAGTTTTAGTTTTCCCGCGTCCAAAACCATCCCTAAACTATCACAGCGAAGAGGGTACAATGGAAAGCCGCTCCCCCCCCCCCCCCCGGGCGTTGCTCTGCGCAGTTCAAACATGGAGAAGACCAATAGCCTAGCAGATGTCATATGTTTTGACTAAAGGCCTCATTCATAAACTCACTCGTTAATCCCCACTGAAGGGGAGGGAGTCGGTTAGYTAATACTGAAACAGTTTAAAAAATCATTGTGATTCTGATTCCTTAATGATATACCCCAATAGGTGATATCCCGACGCAATGTGCAATACAATCTCCCTATACCCTGCGAGCAGAGGTTTTTCTTCTGACCTAGCTCTTTTATCCCCCTATGGCTAACCGAATAATTGATCTTGAGCGAATTGTATCGAACCCTTAGACATCGTTTGGGCTCACCTAAGTCAGGGCATACCTCTCACGACACAACTTATTCACAGACCGCATTGGATTTTACCTTGTTGGCTTTTGTAGAGGAAGGAAAATCCGGAAAAAACCTCAAAAATTAAGGGAGAGACCAAATTCTTCTCGCATATGGTGTGGTGCTGAGTCCAGGAATTGAACCCGAGACCTCAGACCCCACTTCACCGCTTCGCCACCACTCATCTACATTTACCATAGACAAATTGCTCGGCAACAAAGTTAATAACCATCTAAATTAAACAACAAAATTCTCACTTCGCCAGCTGGAATTCCCTATATATACGATCGATTCACAGTATTCCTACGGGAGCGAACCAACCCTCCCAGTTCCCAGTTCCATATCTGTTGTTATGTTCGCTATAGTCTAGAATTTTAGCTACGACTCCCTCTCAATGACCAAAGGAATTCCTTTGTCTTCATGTCATACAATGCTACTTATTACTGATAATTATATCCGTCTTAAACTGCAGACATAGGTATGAAATTACCAGATAGTGATGGATGGTTATTGTCACAACTGTCGCACGGCAACTGTTAACTCTAGTATATTGGTAGCATTGTGGTCTCATGCACTTAGATGATATAAATTAAAATCCGACCACCGACAGTGTTGACAAGACCCTCCCCTCCCCCTCTAAATCCGTTGACCTTATTAAGAGCAAATTAAGGTGATATGATAAAAAAATCCACAGTGAATTGGTTAATAATGACATGCCGTAACACTAAAATGGCTTCCTATAGGATGGTCACCTGTATGAAGAGCAAATGTACGAGGTTTAGATTTTTTAGCACGTACAGGGTATGTTATGCTGTAACACTGAAATGGTTTCCTATATCACATGCTCACATGTATGAAGGGCAAAGGTACCAGGAACTGACTTTCAGCGCACACTGGGTATGACATACTTTAATACTAAAATGACTTCCTATGGGATGGTTACCCGTATGAAGTGCAAATGTACMAGCACACTGGTTATCACGATATGACATGCCGCAACATTGAAATGGCTTTCCCGCGTTTCTAATTCCGAGTGATCAACATAAAAAAAAAACATGTAGCGAGCGTGGTTTAATCGCCACTTCAACCATCAAAGCAGTTACAAAAACATTTAATAACAAGTATATTAAAAGTGCTACAAAAAAATGGCACATTTTAAGACTAAAACATCATGAATCTTTCAGAAACGCCTGGAAAACTAACCTTACAACAGAATGGTCGATAACGCCTATGACAAAAGCACCAACGATATGAATACCCTTTCGTGTTTTCTTCTAAATTCGATTCATTTTGTCTATTTTTGTGATTGGCAATGTCTAAAACATTTTTTGAAATTTAAAAAGGAAGACTTTGAAAAAAGCTTTTTGAGGGGCATTGCAGTGGCAGACTGAAGATTTTGACATTTCGAAGTAATTTGTTCTATTGGGAAAAATTGATTAGACAGTCAAGCAGTGGGGTCCATGTACATCCTAACCTAATTGTGGCACGTGTCGGACACGTTTAGCCAACAAAAATCAGTATTTTGAAGACTATTTGTCTACCAACAATTGGGTCCAGACAGGTGTTGCGCGAACACCCAGACAAAATGCAAACTATTGCGGAAACCTATTGTTACTTAAAACCAGCTAGCCATTGTACTAGTATAGCTGGGCACATGGTAGTGATTAAGTTAGCGCAATCCTGTTGAAGCTATGCTATGACTTGATCTAGTTGTATACACACCAAAGTATATAGCAGAGGAAGATGGTATTTGAGAATTGAGATTTTGTCTTTTGCAGACAGATTCTAGTGCAAGTATTGAGATTCGTGAAATTTGTACTAAAAATGGCAAACCAGGAATCAGTTTACAATAAATATATAACAATAGGTTTARCCATTTGTTGACACAGCAATCTAACACGCTGGTGTCCCATGTAATACCAGCCAGACAACAAGGCAATGAATGGTGTTTTGGCGGGAGAAAATGTCTCAAGAAGAAATACATGTTTCAAATATTTAACGCCGTCTAAGAGTAGATGCCGCGCTAGATCGACGARCAAAACTAAACTCTCCACGGATGAGATAAAATATAAACAAACTTAAAAGAAAATGATTAACTTGACGTTAGGTCAATGGATCAAATGTTTAATTCTAAAAACTTTATACACCGACATGAGACTAGTTTTCCCTGTTTTTCTACTTCGTATGGTGCTTCCGGATTCCTCTAAAGTATCCAGCAATCCTTTGTTTCGTACGGAAGAAAAAAATGCTGAAGAGAAGCCACTGACACAATTTTAACGATTTTTATTCTATTAATTAAGATCCTCCCTCACACCTGCTGTCAATATTCAAGCGATCAAGTTAAGTAGGATTTTAGGTTTGAGACGACATTGGAGTGCATAGAGCTGACAATGCGGATACCTGTATAAAGTGCATTCCATAGCCTAAAGTCTCTGCGTCCAAGCGACCACCAGTAACATAATCCTGTCACTTCTATGCGGCTTTTTGGTGTTTTCAAAATATACCAGTTCTTGTAAAACTCTTGTTAGAGGCTCCCAGTTGGTAGAACAAATCACCCGGGGGTTTAGAGAAGGGAGAATAACACTAAACTGAGCATATGCCCAGTCCCAAATACCATCTCGTAACCCTTAAATACTGAAAGATTTTATCAAAAAAAGCGAAGCTAGTCTCTAGGACACTTTAATTATGCGCTTCAAGAGAAGGGACTTAATGAGATTCATAACTGTCTTTGTTCGTTTCACAAAAGCTACTCGGAAGACGTATGATTGTTTGTTATTGAAGGTGTAAGTTCAAACACCTCTGCCACAGAATAAGGTATTAAATCTTGCACCTTGGACAAGAGTGTAGCATTAGTGTTTGCCTCATCCACGTTGCTTAGCGTCCACAAAGCTTTAGCGATCATCTTCTACCATCATAAACCGGATATCGACTGCATCCCTCAGGTTTCAATTTTCTTTTATAAATATGGAGTATACCACATTGTTGAGTCTTACTTAAATATGCAAAGGTCACATGTGACGTAGATAATGAGGTATTGGGCGCCAATCAGCGTGCGCCTATTGTGTTCGCTTGGGTTTACGATAATGTTCATGAAGTACGTATGAAGGGGCGAGGAAAGATGGCCGTCGGTTAAATCTCTCTCAGATCGCTACTGGATATTACGCCATACGCGAAGCGAAGATTTTTTCAAACTCGACGAAGTTTTGCCTGATAAGTGTTAACGTTTGATTCTAGGCGAAAAGAAAGAAATACAGTGATAAAACTATTAGCTGAGGCTTGAAGCCGAAAACACTTTAACAAAGGGGCCATGGCGGCTTGACTCACAGTCCTGAATTCTAGACAACATGAGTACGGCAAAGAGAAAGAAGCGTAGCTCCAGGTAAGTCGACAATCGTACAACCTTTGAGATTATATTAGTGATAATATTCCTAGTTTTATATGTAAGGATTGCGAGTATAAAGAAAAGAGTCTTGTGTGAGAGTCGAAGCGTTATTTCGACCAAAAGCAGATGTCTGACCTTAGAGCAATAGCCAAAAAGATGACGATTTGTGTTTGGGTTACGATCCAAAACCGTTCCTCTTTTCGGTGAGAATTGGAAATGTAGCACTCGTGTTTCATTGTCATTGAAAATAATGATTTGAAATACATTTACCTGGGATCTACCTCACTCGATAATAATACTTTATTCTAAAAATGCAGATTACATATTTTGAAAAGGAAGACATTGAGGTTAGCCCTATATAAAAAAAGTAAGCTTGCTTACGCGTTCAGACTTTAACAGAAAACTTGGCAGAAATCCTTGTGTATGTTTTTGTTATCGCCAACAGTAAGGCATTTCATTTCTGCTCGAACATCCTTGGATCAAATACCCTTCAATTTCATCACTAGCTATTCGTATAGTATGTTCGTTAAAAGACTACCGTTGTCAAAGAATATATAATCGTACTAAACGTCCACTACGTTAATGTCGATATAATCCGTTCTAACTTCGACCCATGAAATCGACACAGATTTGTACAATTTCACTTAAATATGTCAATGGCCTTGTCGATGTACAAGTTTGCATGTCTCCAGAGAGACACCAAACCCTTGTACCTAGTTTTACAGCGGCAAGCACAGAACGAGATACAGCAATTGAAACTGGCCTATATTGCGAGAGGCACAGTACTCATACATAGTGACCTTTGACAGCAGTAAATAGAAACTCTTGAATACCTCAAAATTGCATTTATTAAATTCATCTACGATTGTAATTTCAAAATTCTGTGGTAATTTTTTTCTCCGCCGATACAACCCCATGTTTTTGTTTCCGTGCACGAGGGATCGAGACGAGAAGTGGTACGTGCTTGTCGGTGTGATGACGTTAGCCCTCTATAGTCTTCGCTACAGTTTCTCTTAAATCTAGTGTTACACCAATCTCCTGCTCATAAAAGTTTAAAATCTGGAGGCAAGAGACTTCCTATTCCAAGGAGAACGGGTTTTGTTGTAGTGCTACAGCGATTTATGCTATTGTTATTGCAATACTACGCCATGTTCCCCTCCTTTGTAAGAATATACAAGGCAAGAGGATGCCGCACAAGGCAGTTCACGGAATCTGGACCACTTGGTACGGCATAGTTATCGCTTTGGGACACCGATTTCTAGAATTATACCATTCAGGCCAACAACTTAGTGTACTTTTCAGTCATTTTTTATTAAAAAACAGAAGGATTTTTATGGATTTACTTATGCGAAAAAAACAGCTTTAAAACGTAGTCAAACACTGCATTATCTTAAATATATTATTCCCATCCCCCGAGTAAGTCGAGTTAGAACAGAACGCGTTCTAAATTGATAGCATTTTGCATACGAAGTTGTGAAAGACAAATTGACCGACGAAATGAACAGGAGCGCTATTTCGAAAGGACTCCAGCAAAGGTTTCTTGGGAGGCGAAGTCATAGCAGAATGTACGACATATTTGAAATGTTTGGCACAATTTGCATATACATTAGTAAGCTGCCACAACGAATCGCTTCGTTTCATGGGTTTTGCACATGTCCTTTCATCTGTGGTCGGTGCCTCTCAATTCTTATGCAAATTTGCCTTAAAACATTTTCGCTGCTTTTTTTTCTTTAATCCTTTCTTTATTAAATGAAGAAAACCCCTGCTTGATCTTGATTCTAGGCACGGTTTTAGGAGCCATATTTGTTGGCTTTTTTAGTTTTCGGATACGTGTCAGCCGGTGTCGTAACTTGTCAACGACAAAAAAGAAAGGGTAAAAAATGGGGCTATGGCTTCTCCGTTTGGATTCCTAGCTCATCGCCCCTCTTGAAAGATAAACAGCTATTGTCACAGCGTGTATTTCACGCCTTTCTTCATAAAACTTCAAATAGTGGTCGGGATACCCAAACAAGATTAATTTCCTGTTTTATGCTTGTTAAGCTCCCTTGAATGGTGTAGCGTCCGACTACAATCAAAATCCCTTGACGTTCGCTGTTTTGTACATTTTGTACAATGCCTTCTAGAACGGATCAACACGAGATCGACGCTGTTTCAGATCTAGTCTGCACTTACGATGTGCTTTGACATCAATACTTGGTTAGATAATTCTCTCTTCTTTACCGTACTCCAGAGCAAAAATTTCGCTTCGAATCAACACTAAACAAATCGTAAATCAAAACGTTGATCGAAGGTTAAGGTCACTGGAGCTCGTGGATGGAATGGCAACGCTTCCAGTAGGGAGGGGTTATGAGCGAAACTGAAAATTGTTCCCCTTAGCTTAAAAGTCGAGATCCCAAATYCCTGATACTAGGGCTATTTTCGTTGTAAAGTTTCACTCGATGAAGGTTATACAAGAAAGTGACATCCTTGGAGTACTACGGTAGTTTTTTGAGTCCCAGATCTCAAGAGACGTTAATCATTGTTCACCAGCCGAAGGCAACAACATTTAAAATTGATTTCTTTCCCTCCAACCACTAAAGACTAAACTTATTATCTGTCAACTATGATATTGAGTCGAACATTGATTTTGAGAACACTTTAGGACTCTTCAAGAGTCAACGTTGTGTATCATTTTGTCACTTCATAAGTGAAAGTGCCGTCTAAGTGTTTGATTTGTACGAGACTTCAGCCTTGCGGATCTATTTAGATTGATTTGTTCCACTCTGCATTAACATATCTTATGTTTATATCCATACAACGGGCTAGTCTCTCCATACCACCGTTTTGCTTACTGTTATACTAATGTATTGATGGTTAAGTAGTAATGTTGTTATATATATTATACCACGAAGATTTCTGGTTTTGACTTTTCCTTATCGTATGTGTCTATGTGGATCGTCTGTGTTTATGTTAAATGGTTTCGGAAGACTTTATGGCGTTTTCTGTTCACCTAAGGTGTCTTTGTCGTATTAAACATTAATACAACGAAAACAAGCAATACTTGTTTTTATATAACAAAGACTAAAAGGCTCTACAGTCATTCTTAACGATTATTTTTGTCTAAATACMCTTATACAGCCAGTTTGCTTTGTTTCTTTGCTGTAAAATTTCATTTCTGGCAACTAAAAGCTAGTATATATGTATGTACTTAAGTAAAACTGTAATTATATTAGTTAGATTTGTAATTGCTTTGCATTATCTATATTTTTTGCCGGCAAAATGTAGATGGGGTTTTTATTTTTTATTCAAATTTATTCAACAACATGAAAAAAAAAATTAATTCTACTCTAATCTAAAAGATTCAATTAAAGAACTGCTTCAAAATTCATACAGATAGTAAAACAATTTCCCTTACAAAGAAAAAGGATTAATTTCCTTTTGGAATGAGTTTCTTCCCTTTAGTTTCCCTTTGTGGAAAAATACATGTAATTTTCTGTCAAGTACTTGTACTGTATGATGTATGACAATCTGCTGAATCTATGTAATTAGAGTTTCAATTTCTAGAATTGGAAGTACAACATTCAATGATTGAAATTGTGTAGTCATAACTACTATTGGCATTGAAGCAAATTTTTAACATCTTAAAATCCATATTAACATGTAGTAATTGGAGAAAGATGAGATACATAATAATAGCTGGTCATTGAACATTGTTCAGCCAGAATTAGAACTGGTGTGGTTAAACCTTTACCTTGCCAATGATTTCAGCCAGTAAAATTGAGCCAGAAACTAGGCACGGCCAATGTTAAACTATTTTTGTCAGTCATCATGAACGACGACTGAATGACAGTTATCTTATTATATTATGTTCTGCAACCAGTGAAATGTGCCATAGCRACATTAGAATTACTATAAACTGTTGTCTAGTCTAAAGGCTTTTGAAGCAATATTTATAATTTGTGGCATACTGTGAAATACTATTACCAATGTATAGCTTTATTTTCTAACCTTGAATTTTCCCAATGATCATGTTCATTTTGACGCTGAAGAGCTGACAGGAATACCACAGCATGTCTGATTCAAAAGAAATTTATGAGTGAATAACAGTACATTTATCCACCACCTACTGTAAGGATGCAAATTGAAAATTTTTGCAAAAATATGATTAGAAAAGAAATGAATGAAATGTCAAATTTTGCAATAATAATCTTCAATAATTCCCATTAACAAAAGTAAAAAGTCAAAAATTAATTTTTATATTTATTTTTAATTTTCTAATATATATTCATAAATATAATATCCTTTAGTGTTGTGCTTTCACATCACTGGCAAGGGTAACATAACTCAAGRTATGGAAGCCTTGACTGTAAAATTTTACAATTTTACAATCCACCTTTCAGATAAAAGTGGCAAATAAAACATAATTGAAATAATATATTTTTATCTTTTTGATGTTGACTGGTCAGCATCAGTGAAACAAGAACTATCAAACRAAAGTGTTTTTATTCTTTAATTATTTATTCACCAAAATTGAGAAGTACCTGGAAAAAATTAGTATCGTAATAAAACAAGTRAACGAGTCTGGATGGCGAGTGGTCAGGGAAGCAAAAATAGGGATATAATAAATATACAAATAAGAATTTTGCAATTCAATACAAGTAATCCACCTGCTAGAAAGAAAATTTTGAAATTTAATTTTCATAAAAACAGAATCTATTAGCAGGATTATCAAGTTTGCCTTAATTAAGAGACTCTTAGTGTGAACACTACAACTTTATTTCAAACGTTTTATTTTAAATTTAGAGTATGTATAATAAATTACTAAATAAATGAAATTGTCTTTTTTCAAAAAAACAAAGTTGTTCAAGCCATTGAAAAATACTTGAATACAAATAATTTAGCCTATTAAAGAACACTTGGTTTGGCAATATAAAAGGATTTGTCAAGTATTACAGTCTGTACAAACATTGGTATTACAATATCAAATATTGATATAAACCAACAAGATTCATTGCTAGAAAGTAAGGTTTCAAAGTAAGCAAGCACAGAAATACTGTATTTGCATGTACGTGTGCCCTTGTCATTTAGCCAAACTTGGAAGGAATAAGCATAAAATGTCCAAAAATAATATCAAGAAAAATCTAATTTGTTATCACAGCATGGGAATATCAAAACAAAGAGAGGCCTTAATCTTGCTAAAAGCACAAAGACTGAATCGGAACTTAGAAGTTGATTCGTATAGAAGRAAAAAATGGGAAATAATGCCAAAAAGGACACAGGATACGGCTGTCAATTGATTTACAATTTACAACAATAAATGCAAAGTTTATACACAGTGAATTCTCCTCCACTAATGCTTCTGAACAATATTAAACATAATTCTTCTATTTCAATGAAATTCATACTTCCTACCTATATTAATGGTATGGCTAATATTTCAAGACTTTAAAGTATGAAAAGGTTTTTTTTCAATCAAACAGCAAAGAAAACAATTCTTTGGCAAAACATTGGCCCCTAGGTAGTGTTTTGACTTTATAAGGTGAGAGCTATTTTTAAGTAACTCATTATCATAAAGCAGTGTCAATTTCTGGCAGCTCATTTGAGTTTATTTTGACAGGTCTGACAGCGGAATGATTAAAAGTAATAAAATTGACAATCTAGTTAAAGAAAACATAAGTAGATAGAGAGTAATTTCCTTTAAACATCAAAATCTAGGCTTGGTGGCATTAATATCAAAGGACTGATTACTTATCTTAATGTTCACAGTATTTTCTTACAGTCTGCGTTGAAAAGGTTGTCTTAGGTCGGTTTAAAAATGGAAATAATAAAAGGATTGTCACGATATCTGTGAAAAAGGTTCATATTAAATTAATACAAATTCCTACTTTTTTTCCATACTGTTATCAAAATAACTGAAGTTCAAATAATTAAATAAATCATTTTGAAATGAATTATAGTTAGGGGGATGTCAATAAGCCGTGAAATTTAATAGTCAATGTCTAAATGATTAAAGAAAACAAAAGAAACATTTGAATTAGGGTGTGCTCATGTCTGAGACTGTGTAGTATTGATTGTGTATAGAAATTAATTTAAAAAATCGATAAGAGACAAATTGATAAGAGACTTTAGAATTAATGAGCCAGGGCTTTGAAGAAAATAAAGAATTAAAATGTGAAAGGGTACCTTAAAATCAACTTGAAAACTACAAATATTGATTGATCTGGTGGTATGAATGCTGCAATGTTATCTGTTAAGCACATGTGGCTGGTTTTATTGTACTATAGCAAGAAACTGCAGTGCTTATCCTGCCTAATATATGCCTACAAGAAGCAGAAATATGGAAAGGAAGAATAAAAACAATTTCACCCAACTGCCATGTTTGCTTCGTTCTTTCAAGCTCCAAAAATGCTTAGGGCTGGTCATTTTGTTCACTCATGCTTTGCGTGCCTTATTCACCACTCTGCTGGCCATTGATTGTACTTTTATTTTATGGGGAAGTAAAATCTCTCATTATTCTGCTAGTTATTTTCCCCTTAAGACTATTTTGCTGGTCAAAGAACAAAAATGCACCATAAAAAATAAATTACGAGAAGGTCGATATAAGACAATGATAAATTGTTTGTCAAAATATTGAGCCAACATGGCAGTCATTAAACCAAGCAATTATAGTACCAGCATAATAATGCCTGAATGAATTGGTATGACATTCTATACATACACTGTAGGTAGTTCAGGAATGTTTTTTTATGGAATCAATTTCTTACTGACCCTTTTAACATTGGCGTCTACATGTATACTTTATGCTGAGTGAATTTACAAGTGGTATATAAGTCTAGACTATGGAATCAACAATTCTTAATATTRAAATATTCTAAATTTCTTGGCCATATAAAGAAGTTTAACACTAAGCAATCATGCAACAAGATTTGTTCAAGCTGTTTTACTTTGTTTTTTTGTTTTTTTTTACTTGAAGTTTTAGGTGTTAATCATTCAACAAACTATGTGAAACATCAGAACCATAAAAAAAGTTACATAAATCTAGGAATCTAACCCTAAGGACATGGGCATGGTAACTAGTACACTAGCCTCATCTAACAAGCTAAATTCAAATCTGAGTTGTGCGCTATCCATCTTCCGTCTTTGAGCTGACCAGAGGTTGTTTCAGTGTTTGACCTGTGAGTTATCTGCCCCCTGACTTCGATCTGCCTAGAGGTTGTTTTAGGGTTCAATCTGTGATTTATTTGTGCCCTGAGGGGGGCTTAAATTTTACGAGTAGTGGGTTTTAATAGAAAAATCGGAGACAAAAATATTGGACTTTTCGACAAACTTATCATAGATTACTCAGCATTTGCATAGAGAAGAGGTTAATTATGTGTAACTTAATAAGTATTGATTAGGACAAAGCCACACAAATCTTAAATGTAGTCAAATAAAATCTTAGAAGTCAGACAGTATACCAATACACCTACAGTATCACATAAAGCAATTTATGGTTCAAAAGTTGAGTTGCCGCCCTATCGCTAGTACCTCAAAAGGGGAGTTTCCTTTTTCTACAAATCTTAGTTATGCCATGATAAAAATTTTATTGAGTTATTGGATGGTATAGCATAGGGGGAGAGGGGGGTTTGTTCAGACTATCAAACCACCCCTAGCAATGGACCTGAGTTGGACTAAAGAAATTGAACTAAAGAGAAAAGAAGTTCAAGACCTGAACAAAATTGGAAGCATTTTAAGTGGTTCCTGAAATTAATTCATGGAAAGTCTGTTTAATCCATTCCAACTCTTGTTGGTTAATGAATGATCCCCTATAAAAGTTCTACCCTCTATTTTAAGTTTTGTCCTATCATATGTAGTTACTACCATAACTGCTATTAAAATTCTATAATATTTTAAACTTATACAACTTCGAAAAACTAATCTTTAATTATTTCTTTTTTTTAGCTTAAAAGGTTCCCTCAACCCTTCCAAGCGCCATAGGGACCGATTCAATGTGGAACTCGATAATCTGGCCAAATTACTACCATTTCCAAACGATGTAATTCAAAAACTAGACAAATTATCTATTCTCAGACTTTCTGCCAGCTACCTAAGAGCTAAAAACTTCTTCAAAGGTGAGATTTATTGTCAAGGAGTAATGAAAATGTGACTTAAATCCCAAAAGAATACGATGGTCAACGTAGAATTGGAAAGAAATCCAGAAAGAAATTTCACTCCGTTGGACAAAATTTTTAAAACCTTTGCCTCAAAGTTTTCTGCACAGTATTAAAAATTCAACTAACACATACTATATTCTTGCTTACCATTTGATTTTCTCTTGAATTTATGGCTATCTTAGTTTAAAATATTRGATTAATCTCCATAGCACTTTTTCCAACCCAAAAACACATGACTCGATATTTTCCCGCCTTTTTGTACCACGTGATCACGGTCAAGGGGAACTGGTACCTAAACAAATTAATATTCCTAAAAAATTTGATTTTTTTTAGTTTTATCGCCAAAATTTACAATATTTGTTAATAAGTCTTCTTCTTAATAACATTTTGATTTGTTTTAAGAGTTTAAATTTAAAAGCTAGGTTTTTGAATTTTTCCAAAATTGTTAATCAGTAAAACATTTCCCTCCTTTTTAATCACGTGATCGYGTTGATCCTTCCTGATCGACCAAAGAATAAGGAAAAACATATTGAAATTTTTGCTTTTTATTTTAATTTGTAAGGGATAAAATATTTACTTTTTTCTTCTCTAATCTAGAGCAACACTGGACTGACACCAATGAGCAGAGCAGTAGCGAAAAAGCAGTCGCAAAGAAAGACTTCAACCTCGAAGGAAATGGCATTTTTTCGAAGCTTCTTCTCGAGGTAAAATTAATACAGTCTTGTATGAGTCATGTTTTTTTTATTAAGTAGGTGTACAAAAATATGTTTACAATTTTCGATTCCAGATTGATATCAAATGTTGAACTTAATTTTCAGGCTTTAGATGGCTTTGTAATCGTCTTAACACAGGATTATGAATTGTTTTATGCGTCTGAGACCATTCAAGACTATCTTGGTCTGTCACAGGTATTACTTAAAAATTTACTTAGGCTTAAAAGCTTTAAATAAGGCTTATAAATTTAATGTTTTTGGTGTTGCTGTCCAAAATATGCAGTCTATATCTTTCCTTAAATAGTGGATATGAAGCCACATTATATAACCCTAGATGTCTAGAGTGAAGGAGAACCTGTTGTTACACAATGACTTATACAAAGGGGAGGTCACAGCGCGGGGGAAAGGGGTTTGGGGGTACTTCCTTTATCCAAGTGGTAGGGTTTATCAGCAGTCTGTATTGAAAACGACCAGTAAAAGGTATTCGTTACAGATAGAATAAAAGATACTGTTTGTGTATGCCCCCTGGAGCATACAGTAGCTATAAGTCCAGTTCTGAGAGGAGTGAGGAAAGGCAGAGGACCATAAGAGCCCCCAGGGTCAGTGAACCAACACCTGGGAATTAAACCCTATGTCTCAGAGGTGAGAGGCAAGTGTTTTATCACCATGCATTCCTGAATTCCCTAGAAAAAATAAATTATTGAATTCGAAAAGTACAATGTTTCCTGTTTTCTTTGCAGTCAAGTGTGATTCATCAAGATTTTCTACGGTTCATTCATGTTGATGACCACGATCTGATAAAACGAAACCTTCAGCCACACTTAGAAGAAGCTGAAGAAAAGGTAAAATATACTGTCATTTCAGGGCCATAGCCACAAATTTCTGATTGGTCTGGTTTTTGAGGGCTTTCAGTTTTTGTCATATTTTATTATTTTTCTTATATTTTTTTCCCGAAAGTTGGTCCAGTTGAAACCGGACCAACAGTACCAGTGGCTACGGTCCTGCATTTCAGACCTGCTGAAGTATGAAGTACTCGCTGTCAGAGGCCTAGCTTGTTGAACCACAATCTTAACCCTACCTAGCCATATACATATCAATAAATAGCCCTCTGATTCTGAGATCAAATTAAAATTTAGAATCGTTGAATTTTGTGGGAGAAGGAAAACTGGATGGCATTGTCTTAGGAGCACAGAGCATAATATAAATGAAGTCTAGATATGATGTACAGAGATTTAAACTCTTTTTCCTTTTGTTTCTAATAGAAAATTAAAATTCTTGATGATGAAAATGATGGAGACCCATCAAGAACTCCAAAACGCGATGAAGAAACTTCATCAGGTAATAATAAACAGCTTTTTCTCTATATATCTATTATTAAATTTATTTACGATTCTTAGATTGCAGTATAACAGTTTTTTATAGCCTTGATATATCAGTTTGTGCTGTATTCAGTTGTAGTTTTCTGTTTTTCACTATGCTTTATATTCTTGTTGCCCCCACTGTGCCTCCCTAATTGATTTTCAAAAATTAATGAATCAAAATGAAATCATAACTAATTGCATAAATGAATGAATGGGAATTCACTATTGATGGAACTTATAGACTCCTGCCGTCTTGGCATTTGCTATTCAGATTACCACCTTGTTTTTATTATGTGTTTATATGCATGACATGATTTTATAATCTTTCTACTGGTACCTATAATGTTTTGTCTTGCATTTTAAAAATATTACAACAAAGCATTTTTGTTCCATGATGAGAAAGAAAATTCAAATGGATTGATTATTTTAGTTATGATTACAGAAAATAGCAGCTAATCCCAAAGTGTTATTAAAAAGAGTATTAGAGAAATTCTGGAACTTTTTAAAGCCTTCTTTAGATACTGAGCCAAAAGTGGTTGGTGGTTTTACTTTAAATGGTATTAGGATACAAAAAATGACGATTTGCTTGAAAAAAAATTTTTTTTTTGGAATTTCATAACTTTAAACTTTTGTCTTTCATATGTTAGTGAAACTTCTTGCATTTGTTGATTGGAAAAGCCAAAATTTTGGGACAAATTAAAATCGTGACTTTATCAAGACCGGAAATGTCCCGTCGCTTGCAATACCGTTGAGTCCAAATGCTCCTTTGTCCTTGTAAAATGATCCTACATTGCGATCGTCCAGAACAACAGATAATTTGACAAGTGATGGCAAAATGGAAGGCTCAAGGTGTTTTGACCAACACGATCGTGGCTCCCTGCAGCTTCTGGCTCCAAACAAAGAAATGCATTTTTCTCAAATTTTTTTTGCTGCTAAAACCTCAACTTCAAAAAGTTAAAAGTCCCTTGGATTTCATTCGATTTTTCTTAAATTTGGAGAGTTTAAAAAGTAACTCATGATCCAAAACAGGGTGTCTCCGATTTTTTTTGAAATTTAATTTCTTTCCAAAGTTATGACGCTTTTTACTCTAAACAACACTCCAAAAGCAATAGCCAAACTTTGATCAAAAATAGTGAGAGATAGAAAACAGATATCAAAAATCTGGGACACCTTTTTGAGCTTATTATCTCCTGAGTATGTTAAGACATTTTTCGCAAACATAGCTTAAAATGTATGTGTCCGTTTTCACTGAGGCTTGGTCAAATTTCGCTTCGAGGACAATAATGTGAACAACAATGAAAAAAATCGTATTTTGAAGATTTCTTCATAAGCTATGTTTACTCAGCTTTCAGAAAATGTATACTTTGTTTGTGTCATACTATAAAGCCAGCGCGTTATTTAAGTTTGCGTGCATAGTGGTCGTAAACGTATCCTAATACCTTAAAAAAAGAAAAAAAATTCTTTTTCTAAAGGCGAAAAATCGTATTGTTTTGTGTTGTGCAACATGGTTCATAGACAAAGCTCTTCCATTAGTCTTTCTGCAAGACCATGGAAAAAGTTATCTGTATTAACAATGACAGAAACCCTTAGCAATAATATTGTTGTTGTATATAACATTATATTATTCCACAACTCTGAACACTAAGGGTTTATTAGTTACAGAAATACAAAGTTATTAAATGATTTATATGAACTTAGGTGTTTCAGACTGTTTGGATTGATTGGATTTTTACTGCTGTCAATGAAAATAAGCCTTTTTAGCTTGGGCGTAATGTTTTGCCAATTTCAGACCACATGTCATTCCCTTGAGTATCACACCTCTTTGTCTGGACCAATTGAAACAAAGAATCCTATTCTCAAAGGAATGACACATGGTCTGAAATGGGCAAAACAAGTACCCAAGCTAAAGAGGTCTATTGTGATAACTGCAAAGGGATATGAATTTTTGATTGATAACAGTAAAAGTACAAATTTCAGTGTATAGAAAATCATGAAATATTGAAATTGCAGTCAAAGCTTTTGGATTAAAAATTGAAAATGAAAAACTCCACCTATCATTTATGAATGAACTTATCTTTATATTATTAAAATGTGAAGTTCTACAATTACTTTTTGAATAATTATGGACGCACACAAATTTTATAAATTGATCATTTTATCTTATCTTATCTTATCTTATCTTGTTTTTTATTTTCCTTAGAAACTGGTTCTCTTTCCAAAGAAGTCCATACAGAAAGGACATTTGTTTGTCGAATGAAGTGTATTCTAAATACCAGTGCAGGATTTTTCAAGGTAAGAAAATATATTAGTAGTACTTAATATACCCAAATACAACTTCATGGAAATTGCCACTCACATTTCCCTCCCAATCTAAAGTTAATCAATTCAACTTTTCATTTCTCAGCTTTTCTCATAAATTCTTGATTTTATGTTATGCATTTTCTCAATGTTAGATAAAAAATATACCTTCTTAGTTTGGGTGAAATGCTTTCCCATTTTATTCAATGTATAAAAAATATCATTATCATCATTATCATCAACTCCTCGCCAGGAGATGCATAAGGACTTCAAACTATTGGTCATTGCCTTGATTATATTATATAAGATTTTTGTTCAAGTTGTTCAAGCATTTCATATTACTAAACCTTCTCTATCAATACACAAAGTAAATAACACTCAAGGGAATGGCAGGCATGATCTGAAACAAGAGAACAAATCTAAATCTAATGCATTTACCACTCCTGGGTGGACAGCTTAATCAGCCTGTCTGGTTTTGCAACCCAACTGATATAGGCAGCTGATAGATCAAATTAGAATTTAGTTGACTTTTGTGAAGGATGGAAAACCTGAATCCCGCCAGAGCTTGCTCGAACCTGGGTTGCCGAGGTAAGAGGTGGGGCATTAGCGGCATTATCCACCCTTGCTTCCCATGTTTGAATTAATATTACTAAGTTTTGGATTCCTGTTTTTAAAGTCTTTTCCTGTGTCTTCATTTTTCAGCCATTCAAATGCAATGGTCGGCTAAGAGAAATGACTCTTGCTGATAGCGACAAGAGAGATTATGGTCTCTTTCTCATATGTACCCCTATGGAAACCATGACCTCATCCATTCTTGAGATCCGTCTTAAAACCTCGCTTTTCTGCAGCAAGAACAGGATGGACTTGAGTTTTGTAGATATTGACCAAAAGTAAGAAAATTATGCTGACTATTTAAAACCCTACTAACTATTTTTTTGTCATTTCAATGCCATCCCTCCTCCCCACTTTGTCCCATCCCATTATCCATTTCCATACCACTCATGTTACTCAGTCACCATTGAAATAAATTTTATAAAATATTTCATAGTTTTCAGTGAGCAGTTGCTTACTTTTCAGGTTTTTCATGCGATGTCACGTTGTATTGAAATTTGTTTGATTTGACAAAGGATTTGATATTCAAAGTTGTACAAATAAGAATAAGCTGTGAAGTTTCGTGTAGATCCCACATAAACTTTTGAAAATATGATTTTTTAAACATGAAATTTTACAAAGCAATGCATGTTAGCAGGCAAAATTTGCTTCTCAACATACATTTCTTTGTAAAAGTCATAGGGTTCAAAAATTCATGTCTCTGGATCCTTAGGATGGACAATCTTCACCAAACTTTATAATTTTACTAATATCTATATAAACAATTTTTCTTTCAACTCTTTTTTCTGATAAAAATAGAGTAATGTCACAGTGAAAAACCTTTATATATTTGTATTTCAAAACTTCACAATTTGAAGGGTATCTAGAATTACACGGAGYAATTTTCATTCAGGCCCTTTCTAAGTCAAATTAGGATTAGAAGTTCATTTTTACAGAGGGAGGAAAAACCAGAGGACCCAGAGAAAAAACTCAAAGCACAGAAGAGAGTCAACAAACAACTCTACTCACATACGACGATTCCAAGAATTGAACCTAGGACGCATTGGTGAGAGGCAAGCCCTCTCACTGTTACGCCATCTTTGGCTAACTCTATTGCATTTCATTTCCAGGGGTCGTGCTCTTCTTGGCTACCACAAACGAGATATTGCTTTACAGTCCAGCTACTGCATGATTCATTTTGAAGATATTGCAGTCTTGAAAACTCTCCACGTTGACTGTAAGTATCAAAATATTACAACCATAAATAATAATAAATAAGTGTGGTTTGTGAGTCAAGGCCACTCAAACAAGTTTCACAAATAATTAATCTTGTTCAAGTATCTCAATGATAGAATTATGGGAAATTCAAGGCTCAGTAAATTTTACTGTTGAAATGTAAAGTCAAAGTTTTTACAAAAAATTTTTTGATTATCTTGAATTTTTATTGCAATAATCAATAATACATTATATGTAAACATACAAATATTTGAGATATGACATGCAAGCAGATTGGCTGGCTACCATGTTTGTATAAGAGGGCAGAGACATGCTCGCTCAAAATCGTTCAAAAATATCTCATAATACAATATAAAAGAGCTGTTTATGTCTCTGTACTGTCATATAAACACTTTGGAAGCTGTAGAACACTTGAGAAGCATTTTTTTWTTTTAWTTTTTTTATTTATATCAGTACAGAAACACATGTGTGCATTTTATATTCCTTAAATAAAACTTGTACAACTTATATTGTTGAGATACTTGGACTTAATTGGATAATTTGTGAACATTTTGTTTGGGTGGCCTTGGTTGGAGTAGTCACACTATAAGTGCACTGATAGCAAAATATGAATCTATAATTCTGTTTTATTATGATTTTAATTCAAGTTCTGTTCAATCAAGCATGTGTGAGGGCGGGAACCTAAACCTTATCTAATTTTATTAGCTAGAGGGAGGCTGTACTTTTGTTAACAACGATTTTCAACGTCACATTTCATAAACTCTGTAGTTTTGAGCTGTCATTGGAATTTTTTCACTTCAAATAAAAACAACACCAACAAATTCATGAAATTTCATTGAAAAACTCATAGCTAAGTTTGTATAATATTGAAAAAATCATTAGAGTTTATCCAACTTGCCACAGCTTGAAGCCAGACTTGAGGCGACATTTTAATAAATAAATTGCACTTAAATTGTTTTATTTTAATTAACAACCAATAGACCAAATCGATATTTTGTCTTCAGATGTTTCCTGTTAAGATAATCTTACAACTTTTTTTTATCCCTTTATTGACAATTTTTTTACATCTCCAGAAAAAATATGTTAAAAGTTGTATTCAACTTCCTCTAAAGGATCAGTAGATATAGTGTAGATTCAATTATAAATTTGTTGAGTAGCAAACCGACTAGTAGTTCTACCAGCATTTTCTTATTATTACTGAAAGATAGGAATATCATACAGTATATGGTAAATTAGACAAATCCAACTAGTGGTCTATCTTCAATGCTGCATACTACTGGCTATAAGTTATAGCCTACTAGTAGTGAAGTGCCAGCTTTGAAAACCAAAACATTAAATTTGACTTTAATTCAAAACTTGTTTGCATCTATATATTTGACCGACTAGTTGGATTTGACTATTTATCCATCCGTCCATCTCATCCTATCCATCCATCCATTCACCCATCCATCCATCTCATCCTATCCATCCATCCATCCATTCACCCATCCATTCATTTATTCATCCAATCCCAGCTTATCCATCTATCTATCCATCCATTCACCATCAATTCACCCATCCGTTTATCCATCCATTTATCCATCCAATTCTTGTCAATTCCAGTCTATCCATCCATTCAATTATCCATCGAATCCCATCCTATATATCCTCCCATCCATTCATCCATTTATTAATCCATCCATCCATCCATCCACCCTTCCATCCATCCATCCATGTTCCCATCCAACCTATCCATCCAGTATTCAACATGSGATGGTGTTAAAGAATGTTTTCCAACTTTCTGTTTTCCTTTGTCAAGTAATGTCATCTGGAAAATGTCAAGGTACATTCCGTCTTCTAAACAAGAACATGAAATGGCAATGGCTAACAGGAACAGCTCAAGTTGTGTTCAAAGGAAATGAAGCTGACTTTGTAATAACAACAAACAGACCACTCAGGTACCTTAACTACATATGTAGGAAATGATATACAAGATATAAAGATATAAACGTTGTTGGGTTCAAAAAAAGGTTATATCATCAAAGCTAAGACCGAAGGGGAGCATGTGAAGACAAACAATTATGCTAATTTCATGCATATTGCAGTTTTTCCTTCCTGTGCACATTTTATGCATCATGGCTTTGGCATGTTGTTAATCTAGGTCGACCGACTTTGCTCTACTGTGCATTTTTACATGTCTATATGCAAATATAATACACATTTCAGGGTACCCAAAATCATGTCGGTCTTGGCTTCGATGATATGACTTTCTCAAACCAGACTACATTTTTTCAATTAGGTGTATACTAGTTTATATAATTCATTCATTCACTCACTCGCTCGCTCACTCACTCACTCACTCACTCACTCACTCATTCATTCATTCATTCATTCATTCATTCATTCATGGCTTGCCATGCAAAAGCAATACATAACTAAGGAAAGCATATAAGCCAGAGGTTCATAAGGCAGTGAAAATAGAATTAACAGATGCTAGTTTTATTGTTTAATTAATTTATTTTTGCAATATTCATTCTTTCCACAGTGAAGAGGAAGGTGAAGAAGTGCTACGACAGCGAGGCCAGCACACCCCTGCATTACAATTCACCACTTCTGACAATAACCTTAGTCCTAAAGGCAATAACAGTTGTTCATATCTTATGGACACTGGTAAAAATGACCAAAGCTTCAAATATCCCACTGTGTCGCCAAAGTTCTTTCCTGACAACAAGAAGATATCTCAACCTCTGAATGTCAATGCCGGGAATGGCCTGCATCACCAAGGTTACTTCAACAGAGGTAGGGGTCAGTAAAGGGTTTGCAAGGGGTCTGTAAGTGGTCTCTAAGGGGTTTGTTTGATCATGTGACAGTGTAGCCATAACGAATCCATCTCCTCAGGAGAAATAAATTCATTATTCTGCCATCTAACATGGTTGCTTTCATGCATGAGAATTAAGATGGCTTTAAGTATATGTTTACGCTTTGAAGAGTGTCGCCATCTCTTTTGACTAAGGTCCTTGGTGTGAACTAAACAGACTTCACACACAAGCTTTGACTATGAATACTCTAAAAAAGCAAAGCATCAAGATGAGAGGGTACAAATATTGCATACCTTCAACCTTGTTTAACCAGCCTTGCTTACAACCATTATCGTTAAAGTGCGACCCGCGCCYGGGGACCCGCGAAGTTTGATGTCTTGTTCGGCGACTAGCATTTTGGCGACCGTCAATCAAAGAACTGCAATTTAAAAACAATTTCTTGAGGGAGATTTTGGACTGAATTAAAGATTTTAGATTATTGGACTATAAATATTTACGAACAAAACGTGCTTCATAAGTGAAGGAAACTGAAGTCAAAACTCTAATAGAAAACATGCTCTCGAAGAGAACATAAAACAGGGCAATTAGAAGACTACGCAAAATTACTAAAACAGTTTTCCTTACTATTCCTCATTTTCGAAAAGTCGATATTATTTAGAATGTTCCCCCTATGATCCTGGGAAAACTTCCAGATGTTCAAAATACTGACTCAATCGGTCGTAAATTTGATGAACAGCATTTCAACCAAGACAGAAACGTGCTTGTATTGATTTGTTCGGCTCGCACATACATGACAAGCACTTAAATGTTTTTTCTTTTTCTGATTTTGAAGCCATAATCTTGACTTTTTTATCAGCTTTTTTTTCGGTTGGGTGTAATAGTACTGTAGTAATGTTTGTTAATAGAGTGATTTTATTTGACCCGTGAAAGAAAAATGACCATTAGTTAGTACTAGTTGATAAAAGAAACAAAAAAGAAAACAATGGATTTAGAGTAATAATAATATTAATAATTATAATAATGATTTATATGGCTTACTTATATGGCGGAAATTCGCACGCTGAATTTTGGTTTTTCGTAGCAAAAAACAAATTTCAGCGTGTAGCTCGCATGTTATGAAAATTGCAGCAAATAAAATCACTCTATCATAAAGCGTAATAGACATAGTAATATAGATCCACGAATTCCATTGTTTTAGTGGTTTTTTATTTATTTTTTTACACAAGTTCATTTTAATGTTTTTTTAATGTTTTTTTTTTTTGTGTGTGTGTTTTGTTTATCTCTTTTATCATTTCATCTCCTTAAATAGCTGTTATAGACTTTCAATACATGTAACTCAAATTCTATTGTTTTCGATTCGTAATCTGATTGGTTGAAAAACTCGAGTGTTCGTGGTTACAGCAGAACGACAGCAACCCGTAAAAAAATAAAAAACACTAGTCAACGTGAAATAGTCAAATAGACGCACACAAAAAAATGGAATTAGGGTCTACTAATGTGTATTAGTGAAATATATATTTCACGGGTTTAGAGTGGTCTTACTTGGCCTCTGAAACAAAGTTGAACAATACTTAACTAACAGTACGAGCAAAACAAAGGAAAACAATGGATTTGTGTGTACTAAAATGTATTACGTTGGCTATTGTTTTACAAGCGAAGTAGAGTGAAGGCATTTAACCCGTGAAATAAAAAATATATATCAACGTGTATTAGTCAAATAGACACAAAAGAAAATAATGGAATTGATGGGTTGCAAGCATTCCCAAGAGAGTTAAAAGACAAAAACATGGCGGCCATTGTGGTACCGTTAACAATGGCTGCTAATGAGAAATCTTTGTTAAATGGTACCAACATGGCCGCGATGACGTAACGTGCAAACGAAAAATTAGGGCCTACCGATGTGCATTAGTCTAATATCTATTTCCACGGGTTTAGGACTTTACTCTAGTCAAATAGACACAAAAGAAAACAATGGAATTAGGGCCTACCAATGTGTATTAGTCTAATATCTAGTTCATGGGTTTAGTGACTTTACTCTAAATTCATTTTTATTGTTTCTCACTCTAATGTAAGCTGCGGTAACAAGCTGTTTATTTTGCTTTGCTAATGCTGTTTTGCGCCTATCGTTCACTTGGAGCTGAAACTAAAGGACAAATGGGGGTCTTAGCTTATGGTGTGTCATTTCGTGTCCTCGCCCGTCAATACTTTCAGCTTAGGCCTTGTAGTTTGGCTTGAACATGAATAATTCATTCAAGTTTGCCACTTCAAATTGCTGAGTTAAAAAATCGTTTTATCTTCCCTCATTGGCAATGTTTCAGTTGGACGTGAACGAGCAAATAAAAAAAAGTTGATTATAGTATTATTGACTCTTAGGTCCACCTTTCTCCGGCACAGATGGAACCCTATCACCTCAAGCTAATTTATCCTCATTTTCCGACGATGGTTTTAGCTCTACTGCTTGTACTTCTGCACCTGATTCTCCTGAGGATCTAAATTTGGGTGTAGATTTGCAAGATGAACTCATGACGGACGGGTCTGATTTTGCATTTTTGTCACAAGGTAAGGGTGTGCCTTGTGTTCTTATTAAGCCATTTTTTATCGCTTGCTACAGCTTGCATGCTTAAGAGGTCCAAGTACGTCTTGTATATCCTGAACAATGTAGAACCATGCGATAAGCCAAACTGAATTTGACCCTTTCCATAACGTTGTCATGGTTGCAAATAGAATAAGAACCAATGACTTTCAATAACAGACTCACTTAGTTAGCATAGATGGTTTTCATACGAGTGGGAAATGATTTGGCAAATCGTTGTCGTAGCCGTAACTTCGCGTTGTGATTGGATTGATTACTGGAAGACAATGTGAAGCTATTTCAGTGTTCCTGCATGTCGTGATGGAAGTCGATACCGTATGTTTCCCACTCTTATACAGTATTCGAGTTGCGTAGTGGTAAAAACCTAAGTTGACTCATCATGGGTGGGTCAGGTTGCTCCCCAGACTTATCATGTGAGCTGAGTTGAGTTTGTTCGACGTTGTTTTCTGCTCTGCAACCTGGTTTTACTCCGAGTTACTCTAGTGTATTTGTATTGACTTTTGTTGTTTTTGTTTGTCAACGTGTGTATTACCACTGCGAGTCATTTAGTAACGCAAAACTTAGTATTTTTAAAAGGAAGATATTTTCTAATAATTACTGTTCCTTTTCTTTTGAAAGATTTTCCTCTTGGAGACACAGATCCAATCTTCGACCCTGCCAAAGATACCGACCTCATTGATCATATGTCCCATCTTGCTATGGATCCTTCACTCGGAGATCTGCCAACCTTAGAGGAAACCCTTGCTCTTATGCAGAACATATCAAGCGACAGTGAGTCGGCACCATCTCTGAGAAGCCCTGATGGAAGCTACGTCTCTGCGCCCAGCCCTYCTCACGTGAACTGTGACCCTTTCTCACCAACGTCTTCGGTCGGACAACCATCTCCTTTTCTATCACCGGTGGGGCCTCAGGCCAGTGGACCTGCAATGATGTCGCCTAGTGGTCTTCCTACTCCAGACCCGTCGCCTCTGGGAAAGAGAGAAGGAGATGCTGCCAGGGTTAATATATCTTGGCAGGGAGTGTCGAAAGGGAGACCACTAAACCAAATGCAACAACAGCATCATCACCCAGTACCTCAACAGCAGCAACACTCTCCTTATGGCCAGTGCTCGCCTAATTATCAACCCAACATGAATCCTCCTAATGGTAACGTGCTTTCTTCCAAGTCTGCTTATATGGCTGCCGTCAAGAAACGAGAAATGGAGAACTACTCCAACTGCGTTGGGAACGCCACAAGCTCGGTGTCACCTGGACACACCGTGCCGTCGTCTTGGAGAATGCAGCAGTGCAGCCCAACAGGTCAACAAGGAAACATGCAGAACAACTACCACAACTGGAATGGCGGCTATCAACAGGGATATCGACCAATGAATCCAATGCACGGAGAGGACAATCTCATAGGAAATGTCCCGACACATGACCCAACATGGAACCAAGGCCTCCAAGGTGCTATGTCTGTTCCGCCATCATTTGAGGACACTTTACCGAATTTAGATTACCCCGGGTCTAATGTACTCTCCCCTCCCTATCATTGTGAGGGTATGCCGGGTTATGGCTTCCAAAACAAGGTCCCTGTCACATCAGTGTCAAAACACGGAGGGTGGTGAGCTTAGATGTTGGTAAACGCATTCCGTGTTGATGAAGCGGAAGAAAGGTCAAGAAAAACCACGAGATATCAAAAACTGTCCTTCCATCTTTTTTTTGAAAGCAGAAGAAAACATAGCAATCAGCTTACGACGGGTTCTGCCCTTAAGCACTATAGAGAAAAGAACTTTAGGAGGTTTGAAGCAACTACGCGCGCAAACTTCGAGGCACATTTTGCTCAATTTCTCTCGCCTCTATAAAGGAGAAAGCTAGAGATTTTTAAGCCACCAAGTCAAAGTGAATGCTTATCTGAACCTCTGCTATACGGATTTGCTTATCTAAAAGGAATTTCTCCTTGCAGTCGTTTAGTTTCGGTCATAATCTTCCTACTTAAATTGTCCGTCCCAACCACAACCATCATGTCGAGAGCAGCCAAAATTTGCACACACAGCTTTATACGCTTCAAACGTTTATTTGAAGCGTGCGTTTGCACAGCGTCCAGTCAAGTGTATCTTTGTTAGAAAATCAACTGAATACCGAGAGTATTGGCCAAAACGGTTGCCAGTTTGCAGCACCTGTTGATGGTTTGGTTTGCCGGAGGTTGATGATAGTAGGATGGAACAAAACCGATGCTAATGATGGCTGCGAGGAAATTACTAGGACCTGAAGGAGACGAGATCGAATCGTCATTTTGGAGGACCATTGTGGCCCTCTTTAGGGATCATCCATTTTTCCGCCCCAACCTCATTTCAAGTTGAAAAGAGAAAAACAAAATAAATGTATTTGTAAATACAGATTACTTCTTTTATGACCTACCAAATCAAATGAATGAATCTCAAACTGTTGTGAATAGGCAAAGACGTTTTCAAATTATCTTACAGGTGTGATTGAGTAAAAATATTCTAACCAACAAATGATTCTGTTGATTTTCGAGATGTGTTGTGGTCACATACATATACATATGTACATACTTTATTATTTAGTACCTCTATTTGATAATATTTACAAGTTATAAATATATAGATTAACAAACACTAGGTAGAGGCAACCTACAATAACCTGATGGTTATTTGCAAATGTTAGGGAGTGGACATGTTATAAACGTCTGAAGAAGAGAAGAGGGTAATAGACCTCCTCGGCTCTGACGTAATGTTTTCCCATTTCAGACCATGTGTCATTCCCATGAGAATAATCTTCTTTGTTTGAGTTGTATCCATATTCATGTGTCTTCTTATGTGCAACCGAGCGCAACCCTTAAACAAAGAAATGATACTCTAGGGAATGACACGTGGTCTGAAATGGGAAACCATTACATCAGAGCCGAGGAGGTCTATTAAGGGTTGTACAAGCGATAGTGCACTTGCCAGTGGGCCGAGTGGTCTGGGTTCTATTCCCTAAGCATCATATGGCAGCAGAATTTATTGGGTATCTCTCCCTTCGTTCCAGGAATTTCATAAGGTTTACCATCCTAGTTCATAACTCCAAGTAGAAATTCCAAGAGCACCACCACCGCAGTTTTTGAAAAGCTCAGTGCATTAATCGTACCGTTACTTTTCTAAAGTTTTAATTGGCTGATTTTTTTYCCTCGTGCAATGTGATTGGTCAGGCAGTGGCGTGACCATATACGTGCCGTGTTTATTCCGTGTAACAGCGAGTATTTTGATTGGATGGAGAAAACATTCTCGTCCAATGATATTTAGTCTGGCTTATAAGTTGCTGTGTCACGATCGGGTTCGTGTCATGAGCTTTTCAAAGTCGTACGAGAACTGCACAATGACACCACTAATACTACCACACCACTGAAAACCACTACACCGCACCACTGAATACCAACACACCACTAAGTATAGGTTTTGCACCATCACGTGCCGGCGCCATAATCTAGCTTGGKTTGCSTGTGGTTAGATGGCAGAACAATAAAATCCCTCTGTTCTCGGCAATTTTTTAGCCTTTTTTTATACCACCACACCACTGAACACCACCACACTACTGAACACCAC